TATTGCTAATAAAAATTCCAGGACTATATTATGTGAATAGTGTTTCGATTCTTCACTTGTTGAATGCCTTTTGTGAACTCTCTTTTCAAACTATACATATCACAGAACAAATCCTAAATGATAAACAAAAACAAGGCTAACAAAGACCAATTTGACATAAAATCATGAAAATCATTGATGGTCCAAATGCTATTTGTACTTATTTACATAAAAAACATTTATTACATTAATATAAACATCTAATATATGGTATGTATGTAGTATATTTTTCAGTCACCCTGTTCCTAAATTATTCTAGTAATATGAGAATTTCTAAACTGGATATATTTTCTAATTACACAAAATATTACCAATTTGTAATCTTCTCATACCACTACAGGTATTTCAGTGAGGAACTGAATATGATATTTTAAATTTGGAAGGACTCGAGATAATGCATGTGTTAAAATAAATAATGAATAAGTGGCAAAATAAAGGGTGAAATGGGCATGAAATGACTTAAACTATTAAAAATTTGTTCAAATATTTGTTACTGGAGGTAACTCAAACATATCTACTTAAGTAATACTTATTTCATCAAGTATATATTAAACACATTTATCTGGATGAACAGGTAATTTGTATAATAAACATATCGGCTATCTATTCTGGAAGAAATTAAGTTGTGGTACAATTCTATGATTAGAGTTAAAATTTATTAATCCCGTATAAATGAGTTTAGTTTCTTTTTGTTTCTTTCGCATTCAATCTCATAAAATTGGCTTGGCTTGAATATAAGTAGCGTTATATCATTTTGGATTCATTTATCATACATATTACCTGACGATTTCTATTCTACAAAATTTTATAAGAATGATTAATCGAAAACGTAAAAAACAAAAGCCCTAATAGAATACTGAAAAATCTACATTTTGTAAAATGTCTTTAGTAACAAAAGTAATCGATATTAGTTGATGTCGCATATCATAAATACAATAGCAACCAGAAATTTTGTGGTGTCTTAAATGTTTATGTCTTCCATTATTTTGTGTGCTTATATTATAAAAAATTAATATATTACATACAGGTGTAATTAAATTCCATTGCATTATGTTTGAATAGGCAATTATAATACGACTTTTTGAATTTTCTGTTTTTTTAATTATTTTCAAATTTAGGGAGTCCCTAAATCGTATCTAACAATAATAACCCATTTCTATTTCTCATATAATTTGGATCGAATGAACATGTTGAAATAGGAACATAAGAGTATATTTAACGACAAATTAAAAGCAATTTGTATGCTATATAAAAAAAAATCACTCTAATTAAGCATTAAATACGTTGACATAATAAAATAAATAAAAGCAAAGGTCAAACTTCTAGCTTAAAGACTTCATTTGTATGCAGGAGTTTATTCTAAATTTATATGTATTTTATCCATGTTTACTTTAAATTCCCAATACTTTAAATTATAAAACTAAGAAGGTTATCTTATATATTATAATCGTGGCATTTTATTTATGTAACCAATTGTACTTTAGAGGAAAGTGTATGATATGCAATAGCTATTATAATTTCTGGTAACTGAATATTTATGCATATATGTTATAAAATTCACAATTTTACTGTGTAATTACCTTTCAATAGAGACTATTTATAACTACATCTTCAACTTTCGTAAATGTGCAACACACAGATAAAATGTATTAAGAGAGGCCATTCCTACCAAGTTTTTAAGTATCCTTCGATCATGGGGATATTATGTTGGAGCCTCTTAAAAAATAGATATACAGTTGGTAATCATTATTGATAGAAATATGAAATATAATTCTTTATATGAAATATACGATTTGTTCTATAGCCTGTCAAATTCTGTAGGAAAGAAAAATAAATACGTATTAGTATACTGTTAATGCATTTTAAAATAAATTTGACTCTGTGACAAATGGAAAAAGACCACGTGATTTATGTATTAAAATAAAAAGCTAAATTGAAACAAATAATAAAAATCCGTTACAATTTTTAATTTTAAGCAAATATTTTAGTGTTTTGCAGTATCAAGATGCTACATATTAAAGTGAAGTTAACCATTTATTATTATAGATGTATTTCAATAGTTTCAATGAAATGTACGATTAATTGTGACTAAAAACTAATGAACAGTGCCATAACAATATCACATTCTCAAATCATTTTTATAAAATTGACAACCTAGTACAAATCAGTAATTTTTATTATAAATAGGATGTACACCAATCTGGGAAACCTGGGATTATCATAGATCTGGAAATATCAGGAAATTTCTCAAATTTTCATGGCATCTTCTCAAATTGCAATTATTGTAATCTATCGATATTTATGAGGTGCTGCCACTGGATGTCACTACTGAAAAGTATGTTGTATTCCTGTTGATTGCCGTCATTCAGAATCAGTTTATGTTATTAATATTAGCTGTTTTTCATTTTTTAATCCTTACTGAACCAAATTCAATTATCACTGGATAATAGGGATCTTTGAAAACAAAATAAAGCCTAAATGAGTAAGTTAATGCAGAATATAATAGTTCAATCAATATACCACTAAGAAAACAATTAAATTCTTGTCCATTTGCATTTCATTCAGACGAGAAGGTTTTTTTTAAATCAGATATAACTCCATTATTTGCAAGCCAAATGAAAAAATTCTTTAAATATCAATTAAATTTATGTGAAATGACACTATAATTGTTTCTTTTTAAATAAGATCCAATATGGCATTCATACAAAAAATCTGTTATTTTCTCAAAAATTTTGGTTAAAAAAAATCAACTGATCAGTGAAAATAACAAAAAAAAAATTACAGTAAATTGGTTCGGACAACAAAACAGTGTAATAGTAAAATTTTAAAACTATGATTTCTACTTTCTATTTTATTAAAATTCAAACAAAGATGTAACTTTTTTCCAGAGAAATATTGCTACACTCTAATAGTTTTTCAAATCCTTGTAATAACAATCAAATTTGATTCACCCTGTGTATAGGTATAATCATAAGCAGGATTAGCCCTAGCGAGTTCAAGGGTTACCAGATCTATCTCTAAAAAAAGGACATCATCAAGAAATATCTACCTTTATAACACACTTGAAGGAAATAATTGATGTCTATGAAAAAAAAAACGGAAATCTGGCAACCCTATTGAAATTGCACTCCCTTGACGTTTAATTGCAATAATTTTCCCCCCCCCCCCTCATTCCCGCCTATGGGTATAATGGCATTACTTAAAAGTCGATATTAATTGGGAAAATTCATTATATAAACTTGGAAACAATATTTCCAATATTTGCTTGTCTGAATACTAAATAAGCGCAACCTAAATGGACTGGTCAATTTTAAATTTAAATGGAAATGGTTATTTTAGTCGGCCAAAATTTAAAATGATACGTTTTTCAAAAAATATGGGGATTTATTAAAAATTAAAAAAAAGTGTCAATTTTAATATTTAACGGCAATACTTTTATTTTTTATTGAACGCTTTACCCAATTCTTGTGGAGTGAATATTAACTTCATGATAGAGTTCTTAATAATTTGACCTCGAATTTTACCAAAAAAATAATATACCGGGTGTTTCAGAGTTCATATGAACATGGGTCCGCAAGTGCTTCGTTTCCGAGATACAGGATGTTATTTTTTTTTTAAACTGAGTTTAAAAAAAAACGCTTTAGCCGATTTGAATGAAATTTTTACGGTTTATTAAAATAATTGGATTAATTAGATTTCATTCAGAAATTTCAGGGGCGTACCCAGAGAGCAAGTCTTTTTTGTAGAAATGAATATCGCCCCGTAATTTTTTTTGCGGTTTTTATGTAATAGTCAGATAAACCTACTAAAAATAGTACATTTGTGTCTCTCGACTCTTTTTAGTGTCTCGCTTCGTTTTTATTTTATTTATTCATTTCAATAAAAAAAACGACTTGCTCGCTGGGTACGCCCCTGAAATTTTTGAATGAAATCTAATTGGTTCAGTTGATGTATGATAATTGTTTTAATAAACTGTAAAAATTTAATTCAAATCTACTAAAGCGTCTTTTTTTAAATTCAATTAAAAAAAAATAACATCCTGTATCTCGGAAACGAAGTACTTGTGGACCCATGTTCATAATAATATTATGAAGTTCATATTATGAACTTTTTTACATATTTTGCTCAGTGGAATCTCCCCTTTTGCCACCCCATCTCTGAAATATCCGGTATACTGATACAGAGAGGGATAAAAAAATTTGGCTAATTGTTAGAAGAAGATGTTTTTTCTATAGTCATAAATAAAATTCTATTTGGTGCAAATTTTATGGCAGTCACTATAATTTTTGGAATAATCATACTTTAACAAATATTTGGTGGGAAATATTGATCAAAAAAATTACTGAAAAATGGTAGCTGATATACCTAGAGCTTATATCTTTGCAAACATGAAAACCTTTTTCTAGAAAAAACAGAATTTTTTGGTTCAAATTTGGTATACACCCTGTGTAGATAACATATACTGAAATAACTTAAATTGTAATTATTTATTTTCGCAGACATGTCAGGAACTTCTGTAGTTCTACTAGAGATGAATTTTAAGTATTTTGCCCAAAAATTAAACAAAAAAACGTAAAAGTGTCGTACTTACTTTCGTAAATTTTTAGATGCGACAAAACAAAAGTAAGTAATGCCACAAATATTGTCAGGCAATAACTTATTAATTAATTATTTTTATTTAAAATTTCGCATTTAAAAGAACATTGAAATTTCCACCTTTTAGAGAATGTTTTTTTTAAAGTAGTTAATTATTTGAATCACCAGCAACACATGCAATTCAGATCAGAATATTAATACCTAAACGTAAAAAGCAGCAGTGGCGGCTTGCCAGGTGACGCAAGTGACGCACAGCTTCACCTAAAATTTCCGTTTAGTTCTGCAATTTAAAATTATTTTTAATTTTATATAAATTTTATAATTTAGGTATAATTCTATATTGAAAATGTATCGTGTGTTTGTTTTATTCGCAGAAATAAACAGAATAGTTGCGCGGTGAACGCTTTCTAAAAAAAAATTGCCTTCGTTGAGCGCGAGCATCAACTTCGCACATACAACGTATAGCATAAGCTAGTGACACGGATCGAAATCAGTTTGTATTCCGCTTCACATCGTTGTTTACGGAGGTTGTCATGGCATCGAGGCGGCCAACACGTGAGTAAACTATAGAGTGACGGAACGAGTGACGCGGAAATTGAAGCATGGCCATCGCCCATCTCGCCTGCCTTAAACAATTTATACGATACGTCGCCCAGTGTACGATTATAACAGTTCTTTGTTAATATTTGTTTTGTATCAATAATTGTAGAAATGTTTCCTATGCATGATCCAGCATGTATTTTGTTGGAAACGCCCTTTTCCAGATGGAAAATTGAGGACAAAAAGGATTTTTCTATTTTTTATAAAATCTAAATGAAAATCCTTCTCGTGAACGTCAGTTTTTAGGTAATTTTGCAAATGCAACTAAAAATTTTCAGATTCATTTAAAGCCGTTTGACCTTGAAATTTTTTTTCTTTTTGGTCAATCAATGAATATGCTTCACCTATTCTCTATGTCACGAGCCGCCACTGAAAAACAGTCATTCAATTCATTCAATAGATGGAATATAGTACAATATTTTGTGAATCAAAAACATGATGGACTTTAGCGTTGACCCATCCATAGGAAGGGAACTCGGAAAGATTACGCCAGAGAATATTGGGGAAATAATAACAATAAAAATAAAAATATTTTTTCGAGAATATTTTAAATCCAGAAAATGTCAGAAACTCAAATCAAATATCATTTTTAATGGAATCTAAAAATTGCGATGAGTGGCATCTATGTCGCTAATATCTAGGCAATTAGATTTAAGATGTTGTATGGATCAGTGATATGAGAACTACAATAAAAGGCACTGATTGAAACTATTAAACCCTTTTGACCACTTTTAGTTTTTTTTGCTCTTGAAATTTATTAATTGTCTAAATTTTATCTCCAAATTACTTGTTATGGGTCATCAAAACATATAATACTATATTTAATGAAAAAAAAAAAGAGTTGTGCACCTGAACGTTAAATTATGTATAGAGTACTTTTATATAATGATTATTTCAGTGTAACATGAACAATCATCAATAGTGCTGGCACAGAGAGCCGCAATTCAAAGGCGTACCAAGCGGGCCAACAGAGACATGCGTGAGCCGCTGCCTCAGAATGCTTTTCACGTTCACGTCACATTAGTATGCTGTTGCCTTTGTTATCGTGCGGATGTTCGTAATTAATTCCTATCCGCTGATGTTTATGATGGTATATTAGACAATTTAATTTGTTGCTTTTCAATAAATAATGCGTACGCCTATATCCCGCGGCTCAGTTCTGACAGCCTTAATCATCAGTATTAAGAATATAATTTTTTTAAGATTAGTATAAATTTATTGAACAGCTACTATTTATTAGTTATATTTGGGCCGTTAAAAAGAAAATTATGGAACGAAAAACTTTTGATTGTCAATTGTGATAACTAGATTTAATAATATGGCGAAAAAAAAATGGGTATAACGGAATTAAATATTACCATTGTATCTTTTTATTTTAATACACAGACGTGACTTAAACAAATTTTCATGTTTCTATCAATTGCACATATTAAATGAATAGTCACTAAAATTTATAAATAGCATCAATTAGACACTTAATTATTTTTACATTACTAATGTTACTAAAGCAGACGCAGCTAATACAATGTCAAAATGTATAATTTACAATTTGTGAATGAGTAATGGTGAAACAATAAAATACTACAGGTCTCTAAAATGTAAAACAATATACAACTATATATAATTTCACAAAAAATATAACAATTTGAATGCGATGTTCATTTGATCACACACTCTTAGTCTGGCACATTGAGTATCGAAATTTATACACTGATATATCACAACTTTACTTAAAAACTTTTTGGTTATAGTTTCTTAACCGCATCGAGTAAAAATTAAACGTTAAAATTACACATATTTCTGAGGATTCTGCTCCTTACTCTCGTCCTATATCCTCCATCTACTCTATAGTCTTCTTGTGTGAAACAGAGACGTATTTTTTTTTACAAAATACAGCAGGAAGCCGAACAGCAACTGCTGTTACCGCCTTTGCTTTTCTGTCGTTGATCTGAAACAAACATAATAATTTTGTAATGCTTCAAATCTTTTTATTAAATCAACAGACAAAAATCGGTGTGCTATGAAAGAAAATAAGTAATAAATAAATTACTTGACTTTTATTGAAGTTCTTATGTCTGTGTTTGGAATATACAAGGTGTCCAGAAGCGACTGGGCTATACTTGTCAAGGGCAAAGGTAGCTTCCTCGAGCGAAAATAAATTGATTTATATTATTTACTTATTTTCCAAGGAGGAAAATCTCACAAAGATATGGAAACTCAAATTAATAACTGATAAACAAGCAAATACAATAGTGAAAAGTGGCACTCGCATATTTGCAGAAGAGGTTCTGTTCTGTTTTACAAGTAAATATACCACTACAAGTGTGATAATTCATTTAACTTTCCTAAAAATACTTTATAAAATGCAGTAACAGAGGAATGTGATATACAAATCCTCTTGGGTTTGTTTTCCCCAATTCGTTATTTTAAAGGTTATAATACGAAATTATCATTGAATGTATTTGACACACATTAAACAATGTATAACTTACCTTGAGAGTTAGGCTCTGGAAGAGTCTCCCTTGGAACCAAATGCATCACCGTGGTCTTCCCAAATGGCAGTCCTAGAGCACCTAAGGTTACGTTACTGTGAAGGAACCGACCCTGATAAATGAGTCTGAGTATTTCAGCCTTTGATACAGCCTCTTGGCACCAATCTGAAACAAAGAGAATCTCTTAAGATCTAATAGTGTCATTAGTCTATAAGTCTCGAGCGGATTTCAAATTTTCGCTCAACTTTCCATTCGGAATCCTGTCCAAAGCAGAGATTCATGCTCGAGAAGACTAAGCTATCCTCCTCGAGAAGTAGTAGGCGTAGCGCGGAAAATAATATCCCAGCCGCCTCCAAACATCAAAGCCGTAGAAGACGGGCACCGCGAAACTAATGCTAGACAAGTTAAAGCCTAACAAGACAGTGATATAGACACCAGAGTAACCATACTAGAAGTGTCGCCAAAAGACTAGGCTGCAACTAGGTTCAGTTGAAAGCCTCAAGGAAACCGCGCCATCCCGAAGATATACCAAAGTGGTCGAAGTCAACAAAATAAATTAGATCGTTGACCATATTTCTAGGAATGTACCTTCCCTCCGCTGCAGGAAATAATAAAGATCTAGGTAAAAATGTCGATTCTTCCCATACTAGTAGTAATTTCCGAGAAAATGATGGAATTAGACGTCATGGCGCCCAACGTGGGACCCAAATTTCCAAAAGGCCAAGGAAATGTGGAATTAGATGACAGTGCATATTAATCAACAAATCGTAGATAGGATTACACCTAACATAAATATTTATTGTCAGAAACGACGATATAAAAGAAATAATGGCGATATATCAAATCTTGGGATGCAATGTCATTAGAACGGAAAAACTGAAACAGGCAAATTGAGTAGAATAATTATTATACATATGGTACAAACTTTTATGTGATCAATCATCTAGGACTACACATTTTACGGATATGTGGTTTTTTAAACAAGCTCGAAATTATAGGGGAAAGTTGGTACACAGTTAAAATCCTGAAAGGTGGAAGTTTTATCTATAATGCATTATACGAATATCGGACAAATGACGGGTTTTCACTTAATAAATTTCATAATTCTGCAATACTCACAATCAAATAAAACTAATAATTATTTTTAATTTCACGCTCGATTTCACGTTTATAATATTAGCTTTTCTAATTTTCAAGCCCATTATTGATACTATCATTCATCGTTATAGTTGTTAATAGCTTCCAAACGAATGTCTTTCTGTATCAAAACATATTTGATTACTTAAGTAAGCAATCACCACAATCACTATACTTAGTAGTTATGTTATACAGGGTGTGGCGTGTATAATCTATAAAAATTAAACTAGAGCTTCCTGATGATATTTGCTATAGAAAACTCTTTTACGAAACAGTTCTATCTTCGCGTTTTTTTTTTTGTATAAAGTAAAGTTCATTTTTTCAACGAAAATGAAGGCCGACACTGTGTTATTTATTAAAAACTTTGGAAATGTTTTTATGCGGCCCGAGATGAACCTTATAATTTAAGTCGGTATAATCTATTAGTACTAGTAATACTAAAAAAGGATAGGTTACACTGTCAAAAAATTTGTGCAATTTTGTATTTGTATTGAATTCATTATTCACTTAATTATTAAATATTAAGCATCGTTCATCGACGCATCAGTGTTAAAAAGTGAAAGATTCCAGACAAAAGTTTTTATTTTGTAATTCCACGATAGTGTAATTTTTATAAAGAAGTAAACAATAAGATTAGCGTGCCGATTATATTAAAAACGAGATTCTTATTTCTTACTGTGCTTAATTTTTTAGTTTTTGCACAAACTAGTTTTGCAATGAAACGAGTAAACAATGCATTTACTATTTCCGAACGTGTCGATATGGTGTTAGTGTATGGTGCAGCAGGAGAAAATGCGCTCGTGGCGACTAAGTTGTACCGGGAACGATGGCCACAACGTCATCCCTCATGTGCAATACAACCCTACAGTGCGTTCAGCGGCTGCGAGATACGGGAAGTGTAATTCCTGGTGGAGAAGGACGTGGTCAGCAAGTGAACCTTAATGTTGAAGATGCAGTGTTAGAAAATTTTGTCGAAGACCCCACAATTAGTACTCGACGACTCGCACAACAAGTAGGAACCTCATCCCGTATAGTACATCGCATCTTAAGGCGCTAGCTGTTGCACCCCTATCATCTGCAACCAGTTCAACAGATTTTAACCCCAGATTGTGATCAACGAATGCGTTTTTGCAGATGATTTTTACGGCAATGTGCCGATCAAGTACACTTTCCTGCTTATGTCTATGTAACAGTTGAGACGATATTTATACGTGATGAAGTGAATTTCCATAATATGCACATATCACGCAATTAGGGAAAGTCATTTTCAACATCGGTTCTCGGTAAATGTTTGGGCTGGCATAATAGGCGATGTACTTGTGGGTCCCTATTTCTTTGAAGGATGACTAAATGGACCAACATATGCTGACTTTTTGGAGAACCGGTTGCCTGAATTATTGGACGATGTGGCATTACAAGTTCGGGCATGCATGTTTTATCTTCAAGATGGGGCACACTACCCGAGAAGTAATGACACTTTTGAATGAAATGTTTCCTCAGCGATGGATTGGACGCTTTGGTTCTGTGCCGTGGCCACCTCGGTCACCCGATCTAACTCCAATGGATTGGAGTCACTTGAAGTTATTGGTTTGCAGTACCCCAATTACTACAGTGGAAGAATTACGAAACCGTATACTTGAAGCTGCTGACACAATTAGGGGAATACCTGGAATTTGGGAAAATATTGGCCAAAATTGGGTGCGTCAATGCCATGCTTGTATCCGCGCTAATGGGGATCAATTTCAACATTTTCCCTAGAAATGGTAAGTTTTATTTCATTTTGATCCATATTTTAATGGAGTTTGTTTAGTGCACGCAGTTGGCAATTACAGATGCTTACGGATGTGGTTTTGTTTGCGAACTCTTGCAGAATGCATTTAAGATAGTAATTACTATTAATTATTATGATAAGAAAATATTAGGTTTTTTTTTTAATATTTATTTTTCTTAGCTTTTGCATTGAAAAATTCCCCAAATATTGAGAACGACGATTTGTTTACGCGGTTGGTCTATAGCACGTAAATCATCGTACATCACACGGACAATTTACGAAAAAAAAAACGCGAAAATAGAACTTTTTCATACAGGACTTTTCTACTACAAATATCGTTAGGAAGCTGTAGTTTAATTTTTATAGATTATACACGCCACACCCTGTATGGTATTATATGACTAATCATTTGGAACATAGCAAACAATCCTATTAAAACAAATAGTTTAATGTTCTACCGAGTGTCTATCGTATGATTACTACTGTTGACGAGACAAAACAAAATCCCGTCTGAAACATCTGGATATATAAATCTCCTTTGCCAAATAAATAGAAAATTATGAGAACAGTTTAATTAGTAGTTTATTTCGGACAAATTATATCCTGAATAATGCAAAAAAACTGCTTACCCTCTGGCCAATTGTCAAAAACATGCTGGGCAATATCGCCAGCAGAATCACTAGGACTGAACAGGAACTCTTTTGTTTTTCCACTGACAAGTATCAGACGCAGGTTAATCTGTAACAAATTGAAACATTTAGTATGTTACTCGTACTATCAGGACAATATTGGTAACAATTTATTCAGAGTAAACAGTATTATGCAAATATGTCCCAAAAAAGTAAAATATCGTACAAATTAAGAACTCGTCTTAGATAAGGACGACACCTACAGCACTGAAGTTGAAAATTATTGAAACACTTCAAATTTTTAAAGAAATAATTATAATCTACTAATTTTATTTATAGAAGAAAGTACATTTTCGTTACAGTGTACAGTACAGTGTTTTTCGTTAGTGTTATAGTAACTACAAATAGGTAAAAGATACAGTACAAAAACTAATGATGCTAGAGAAACCCATTATCCCAAACTTCCGATATTGAGACTTTAATAACTTTGTCTATTTCTATGTTGCCTTAAGAGAAAATATTGATTTCTAAATTAACTTCCTCAATTTCGTCGCGAAATATCGACAACAAAAACCGCGGGTGGGGCATACCTACGCCTACGACGAAAATCTAAAACATAGATTTCCAATTCGCGACCCTCGCATAAGCATCCACAAAATGGCTTTACAAAGATATCCGCTACTTTGCCCAACTCTGCCCTTTACGAATAAATCGATATAATCATTTCCTCAATACCAAATTGCTTTAGAAGTACATGACGGTGAGTCTTTTTATTTTAGATTCGATTTTATCTGCCATTTAAAAAGTGTTAAGTCCGGTTTACATGATGTGCGGAAAAAACTTGACGGCGTCAGTTAATGAATATTCTGCAAATGATTCGTTAAAAAAATGACTCACAATTAGTCAGCGGCGTATGAAAGAGGGGAGGGAGTGGCGATCAGAACCTTCCCCTGCTTCTGCATAGGAATTCCCATAGGCTGTTATTATTTTTTTCTTTTCAGTGTGGCAAAAATACCCAAATAAATAAAAAATTGATCGCAGCCTAAATGAAACAACACAGAGATAAGTAAATACATTGTAGATCATAGGTATGATGAAAATTAAAAAATAGGGTAAATTTAAGATAGAAGAATAAAAATTTGGAATATACAGGGTTATCCAAAAGTCCCGGTACGGCAGAAAAACTTTCGAAGAAAGCATTTTGGAAAAAAAATGTTTCAGACAAAAATGTAAGGATTTTTCCCTGGCTATCTGATAGTGACCTTGGATTTGACGTTGACTTTGACCTTCAAGGTCATTTGAAGGTCAAGTTAAGTTTTTTAAATGGAACCCCCTATTTTTTATTGCGGATTTGGAAAGAGCAGGAAATTTTACGTCCAAATTTGGTCTTGACCTTGACTTTGACAATGACCTTGCTCTTTCCAAATCCGCAATAAAAAATAGGGGTTCCCATTAAAAAAAATTAACTTGAACTTCAAATGACCTTGAATATCAAAGTCAAGGTCAAATCCAAGGTCACCATCAGATAGCCAGGGAAAAATCCTTATATGTTTGTCTGAAACATTTTTTCCCAAAATGCATTCTTCGAAAGTTCTGCCGTACTGGGACTTTTAGAAGTCAATCCACATTTGACCTTGAAGGTCATTGTCAAAGTCATAAACCAGGGTCATATCTTTTTATTAAATTTCCAATACTTACTGTTAAGTTCCGATATAAGAAGTGCTGTTTATTGACATTATATTATGAATTTACTTAATAATGTAAATTAATTCGTGTTGTGGTAATAAAAAACATTTAAAAAATAATGGAATATTTAATGTGGAGGCGTCGCCGTCGGCGTCGCTAAGCGAATAAAGGTCTACTGACAGTAAACTCGAGAATATCTTCTGCCCGAGCAATTTTCATAATGTTACGTCCTCGGCTGCATCGTTTAAAGAAACTTGCATTCAATAAGTAAATAACATTAATTTAAACATCATTTGCATATGTATTTTTTACATCAGTATTTGCATAACAATTAATTTTTTAATTAGGTATTAATGTTGTTAAATTCCATTTATTTTAAATATCGAAAGAAAACATTTTTTCGTTTTCAAGTTTATTAGTAAATTTTAACCCAAAATTAATTGCCGTTCAGGAACATCTGTATCTGCATTCTTTAACAAATAAGTTTTTCATAAGGGTCACTTGTTCACCTCAACCTCAAGACTTTCACATAGTAAGAATTTTTAATTGGTGAAATATTCCTTTTAATTAAGGTGACCATATCCCGGGCCGAGAAATAGTCAAATTTCTGGCGTTTTTAGGTACCGAAAGCTTGAAAAGTAAAACGTGTAGAACAAAGTAAGCACAAAACTAAAATCCTTGATATTCTGTTTATTCATTGCTACTATTTAAATTTACTAAAAGTAAAATAATAGTTTAAAAAAAGCGTTTGTAAAACATGTGTTTACTGTTATTCTAATCCCACCTTTTAAGAATTATTTTCACGTACTTATAAAAATAAAAGTAAAGAATTTTATATGTAAGACTAAGCAAGTAAATGTTATCACAATATTTGTTGAACAAGGATTATAAAAAATACTCACAAAATTAAACATATCAGTAGCACCCATATTATTTTTTTAAATAATTGAATACTATTGCCCACACACCCGCCCCTGAAAAAGCGACTAAATTGTGGTTTACACTAAAACATGACCTTTAATCATTGTGTAATGTTTGAGAAAAACAAAACATTCCATTACTAACAATAAGATATTAAAAAAAGAATCGAACAAAACTTCAACACCGTATTTTGGAAAGAGGACACTTTTCAACGTAAGCTATAATGAACCTTTTTTTCATAAAATAATTTGAAGAATCGCCGTGTGAAATATGTATTTTAGATAATTTAGAAAATAGCGTGTAACATTTTATTGATATATATGCCCAGATGTATTCTTGATTTAGCACAATATTTTCTACAAGAGAATTTTCACAAGAGAATAGAAAATTATGGGAAAATAGGAAAGTAAATAAATTATTCACATATTCCACAAATATTTTGTCCTTTCATTAAATGGAAAGCACTAAATATCAAGCTAAATTTATCTTGTGTTTTTTTAAATCTATTTTTGGACAATAATAAGGAATTAATCCACGTTATTGATTTTATGGTATAATTCTGACATTAAATACTAAAACAGCATTTTATTAATTTCTTTGAGGTATGCAGTATCAGAATTTGAATACTTATTTCCTAGGCTCATGCGTAGTTATAAAACTATAGGAAGATATTTTTTCCAATGACAAAAAAGCAAAGTAGCTGGTCATCATATCTGAAATAGATCGACGGTTCTATTAGAATGGGAAATATATATATAATTCATTTCGGATTACGTTAATCACAAAAATATGTAATAAATAAGTCATTTCCTGGCAAATTAAAATACATAAATTTTTCTACATCTGGCGAAAAGGATATACAAATAACTTCATCATGAGTTGTAACATTAAATTTGGCAAATTCGAAACATATTTTCTAAAAAAATACGATAACTAAATAACAGAGTAGGTCTTTTTAAAAATGTATATTGTTGTCTTTTAAAATAACCCATTTTAGAGTAGGCAACAATGTTTTGCGTCAAGGGTCCGAATTTTAGAATTCTGGCTCAAATAAGTGAAAAAATCACAGCCAGGCTTTCCTGGTCCTGCGGCAAAATTTTGCGGAGGTCCCCAGTTTTATCCGCCCTTGAAGATTCTAGTTCATTTATTATTTTGTCTTATAAAGTATAAAAATGAAACGCTTATGACAATTTTCATTTGTTTATGTTCAGAGGTTTTAAACCATATTCAAAAAATTCATTATACAACTTACCATTTGGTCGCCATATACAGGATGTCTCAAAATTCCAGGTACAGGAACCACTTATTTTAGAGATCTAAATAAGAAGATTCAAGTAAACTTACGTCCATCAAAACTTGCTTCATTAAGCCCTAGAGGATATCGAAGTTGGGAAATTTTAGTTTTTAGGTCTTTTCTCTTGTAATTTTNGAAGAAGAAGAAGGAAGTCATCATCAACGCATTTTCGATACAAATCTGATTTAATTATAATTAAAAATTTGATTTATTTACTTCGATATGTAGGTCAACACGTGTTGTCTATATACACAAGTAGTATCATACCAAACATTTAAATCCTACTAAACTAAAATTATTTGCCAACTGGCGCTATCTAGCGGTTAAATGAAATAATTTTGGATACCCGAACTTTAGTTAAATAAGTAGTTTTATTTTGAATTAAGAATTTGTAGCTCCATTTGCATAAAATATATACCCTGTATATCGGAAACAAAGGTGATTCCTTGATCCATACTATCCCACTACCATTGGGTATGTAATGTAATATATTGTAATGTATTGATTATTTTTATTATACACTTTCTCCAAATCTATAGTATAGGCATGGAAAAATTTAATTTGTCAAAAAATCGTACAATCAGAAATTAGGACAAAATTTATAACCATTATATCTTCTGTCTTTATGACCCTCTTTTTAAGTTTGTCCTACACACCTGCATAATTATTTAATTATTAAATTTCCTAGTAAAGTAAAGATAAAATATTATTCTTCTCTCAAAATTTTTCCTGCGCTAGCGACATCAGTAATAAAAATATTTAGACGTTACAAATTCGTACTACTATTTCAAACTGACACTTGCTATCAACATTTATTTCGGCGTAATGAATGACTCATATCTCCAGGCGAGACTTTCTGCAACCCAATGAGATTCAACTGACTCTGCTACACAAGTATCATGCTGCAATTTATCATAATGATACCACAAGGTAATTTGCTGGTATTTCAATTATCAGATCCCTGATATTTTAGTTGGTTAGTTTTTTTTTTCAAAACTACTGAAGTTTATAAATGCTACTTCACTGACCTATTTGTTTTGAAAGTATACAATGAATAGTATTTTTGAAACATATTCACAAATCTAAAACGGGTTTTACAACATTTTTTTATCCAATAAACTGATAAAAGAAATTAAATAGGTATATTATGTAAATATGATGGGGTATATTAATGTATATTATATACATGTATACAATGTATAATTAATATTTTTTACAAAAATACAATATTTAAGTTTAATATTTTTTTTACGAAAATACAAAAATAACTCAAATTTCTTAAATTAATGTGCAGTTTATGTGAAAAGAGATCAGCTGTTTATTTTGTAAACCTTTCCTATTCTAGTTAGGTTTGAACGACTGTCTGTTGCAGTATCTTAGACTAAATCGGTAGAAAGACATTCAGAATTAAGTCGCATGAGTCACTCTTTTGATTAATACCCTTAGAGGGTTGAATGCCCCTCTAAAAAGAGGACACATGTACTTTCAGGCTATTCAACTTTTCATAATTATTTGTTATGGGCGACAAAATAATAAATCACAAGTAAAAGGTTATTTATGAAAACTAACGCAACTCTTGGAATCGAATTTGAATTGAAATACATATTTTAATATTCAGTTTATATACATTTGTCTATTGCATTGGTAGAAATATCAGACTGTTACAAATTCTCTTCTCACTACAGGGATCTCGAAAACAGTAAGAGATACAAACTAGCTTAAATGAGGGCAAAGTTGCGTAATCAGGGAACCAACATTATGCCTCTAAAAAGTCAAAGTCGAAATATTTGAAAAAAAAAAACGAAATTTTGGATATACGTTTTTGTTTCACTTCAGCCTTGTTTGAGGTGATATTGAAAAAAGATGGCCATTTTCTGCCATCTATCGAATGGCATAATCAATTTTTATATGTAACGTTTCGTCTCTTCACGATCATCATCAACTTAATTTTTTTAAATACGAGACCCTGGAAATTTTATTATATTTTTTGCAAGCCTTCATGACCCCCAATGCTGTACTGCCTCAGCCCGAACCAGATTCAGACGTTCTGCCTCGAAAAGTTCATCTTCAGTGTATTTGTTCCAAATTTATCTATTTTTAATGTAGATTTCTTTGTTTATTGAATTATCGTACACTGTAAGTGTCATTAGACCCTGTGAAATTCATCTAGTTATTTAAACTATTACCACCACGCATTAAAATAAAACTATTAGTTTTATTCCCGTGTCCACAGTTATTTCTAGGCTTGCCGAGCACTCAAAATTCAAACAAATTCCGATATATTTTTTTCAGGATATTCATACAAATACATCTGACATGCTCTTTCACAGTTGCGGTTACAGATATAATAAATTCCGATAATATTAAGCTGATCTTCATTTTCAACCTCTGCGAAAACGAAAATGTTTTTGAACATTTACTGAAATTTTTTAAAGTTGGTGTTTTGGTTGTTTATATGCATTTTTAAGAATTAATTTGTCATAATAAAATTAAAATTGTAATGTTTTAATTTTGATACAACTTATTGAGTTATGTATGACCAAGTGATGGTAATAGTTAATAATAATAAATGTTTTATTGTAACGCGCGGTGGTAATAGTTTAAGTAACTAGATGGATTTCACAGGGTCTAACGACACTTACAGTGTACGATAAAATTTTTGAATGAATTTTTCGGGACAAAACGTTTGAATCTGGTTCGGGCCGAGTCAGTACAGTATTGGGGGTCATGGAGCCTGGCAAAAAATGCAATAAAATTTCTAGGGTCGTATTTAAAAAAATGAAGTTGATGATGGTCCTGGAAAGACGAAACGTTACATATAAAAATTGTTTATGCCATTCGATAGAGGGCAAAAAGTGACCATGAGAAAGTGTTCTTCTTTTTTCAATATCACTTCAAAGAAGGTTGAAATGAAACAAAAACGTATTTCCAGAATTTCGGTTTCTTCAAATATTTCGAAAACTAGTCATGTTAGCCTTGATTTTTTAGAGGCATAATGTCGGTGATTACGCAACTTTGCCCCCATTTAAGCTACTTCGTACCTCTTAGCGTTTCCGAGATCCCTGTAGTGAGAAGGAAATTTGTAACAGCCTGTATAGGGGAAACTTTTCCAATATGAAAAGTGAAAGAATTCGTTGATCTTTCAAAAAGTTCCATATCAGGCGTAGTTCCTGACAAAACAAAAGGAATCACAGTTAAATCATCGCAGATGATTTACTGTGTAGATGGGAAAGCGCAGGACAGGAAAAGATATTTTCACGCATGTTTAGAAAATTTTCGAAATTTCCCTCTCGCAAAGCCATGATTACCTCCAAAATGCCCTCAGCTGTAACAGACGATGCTTACAGTACATGGGAAGAAGCGTTAAAAATTTCACCCATCTTTCTAATTTCGGCAAAATTTCGAAAATTGAAGGTCACAATTAACAAAATTAATTTTCAAGATCACAACCCTTTAGAGGCGCCCGCAATCCACACAGTCAGCTGGAAAATTCAATTCAAATCTTGCGCGGACGCCACATCAGAATCCCCTACGGAGCCAACGTCGGGAGTGATCGAACGTCAGCCCAAGGACCATGCGGTTCAATAAATCAGTGTTGATCACACGAGACCCAGGAAGGGATAATGAAATTAAGACAACCAATCGTATTCCACGACAAGAGCTTTCAAATAACTTAGTCTTTCTTAAAACAAAACTACGTACAAAAATGATACACCCTGTACATACACACAAAATAATTTCAAAGATGCTCTCCTAAGTTTTTCACTACATATATTTTTTAAATCGATTAATTAAGTGAAAACATCATCCGTAATCTAGTAAATTTATTTCCTATTTTTCAGTGTCTAATCAAAAAGCGGCCACTCCGCCTCAGCTCCGACATTAAATTCGATTAAGAGCCATGAAAGAGGCGGCGCACCGGCTCCTCGGCTCACAAACGCAGAACCGACACATCGGTGGGTGGGTGCCCGAAACCGTGAATCATGCTGGGTAATTATTGGGGAGACAAGCGGAAAACCAATATATAGGTTATTGGCCGCAGATGCCGTAACGACCTTATGGGATGCAGGATGTTGCGTGAAATGTTCCCAACTGATGTTGGCGGCTCATAATGGAGAGAGAATATGATTATTTCCAGGTGACTTAATGAAGTGGATATACGGTAGACGGCGGCTTAATTGATGCGTGCCCTTTGAAATTCTATAAAAAAAATACGGAACGTAACAGCGACGTTGCGACAAATTTTCGAAACTGGAAGTAATGTTTTTCTCCTGGTTCCTATGGAACTTACTATCCTTTAAATTTTTGGTGTGATGAAGTGAAACATAGTTTTTGGTCAATTATTCAAGAACCAATGAAGATATAGGCTTCAAACTTGGTACAGCCGTTACCTCCTATACTACAAAGCCTCATATCCTTTATTTGGTGACTTCACTACCTGACAGAAGTTGACACCTGAATTCGGTTTGTTTTTGCAGCAGTCTCGTACGGAGCATGTGCATTATGAAATTACCGTTTTGCAGAACAAATCTTAAACTCCGACTAGAAGTTCGTGAAGGATTTTCAAATTGTTACCAAACCTGTCTGATAATTATATGTGGACTGCCAATCCGAGACATTCGCAATATTTTTTTCAATATATTTCCTTAGGATTTTTGGCGGAGTGATGTGCAAACTATCAGTTATAAATATTAAGTAGGAAGCATTCATCGTAACTCCCTTGGCAACATCGTTAACAGACCTCTCTTTTCTGTATTTCTTACCCTTGTTTCAAATGTCTGTGTAAAATGTCAGAGTCAGCTAAACAATCGTTCTTGTAGCGCAAAATTTCTAACCATTAACAAATGGTCCACAATCGCAGCTTCTTTAAAAACTAACAAAGATTTACTGTAAAAACAGAGTTATTGTTCTTCTATTTTAATTATTTCTGCAACTACCTACTATAAAATATTTTGGATCGAGAATTTAAATAATTTTATATACAGGGTGTTCCAGAATAACGTGTACAACGGAAGACCACAGATTCGGGGACTCAAAATAGGCAGATTTAGATTAATTTACCTATATCCGA